CTGGCACCGCCTTCCATCACCTCCGGAATATCGCCAGACTACGGCACTACCTCACCCCTCACGCGGCTGAAACTCTGGTCCACGCCTTTGTCACCTCAAGGCTGGACTATGGGAACTCTCTCCTCGCCGGCCTTCCCGGCCCTCCCTCCACACTGCAGGTCATTCAGAACTCTGCAGCTCGTGTACTGTTCCGCACCTGAGGCGCTGCAGCATCAGCCTCCATGGCTGCACACTCAACCTCACTAAGCCAGTCAGGAACCTGGGTATCTTGTTTGACCCTGAACTGTCCTTTCTCCCCCATATCCGTGCCATGACCGGCGCTGCCTACCATCACCTGCCACTGCCTCACCCCTCAGGCTGCCGAAACCCTCACCCACACATTCGTCACCTCAAGCCTCGATTACGGGAACTCCCTCCTCATTGACCTTCCCAACTCTTCCCAACTCATCCAAAACTCTGCAGCTTATGTACTCTCACGCACCAGGCTCCGCGACCCCATCACTCCCATCCTCGCCCAACTCCACTGGCTCCCCATCCCCCAGAGGATCGGGTTCAAGATCCTCGTCCTCACCTTTAAGGCCATCCATGGCCTTGCCCCCTCCTACCTCTCTGACCTGCTGACTCCCTACCAACCTGATCGCTCCCTCCCCTCAGTAGGCTCAGTCTGCTTCATGCCTCCCGCCCGACCCTCCCTACCATCGGTGGACGGGCTTTCAGCCTCTCGGCCCCCACACTCTGTAACTCCATCCCATGGTCCCTTCGCCTCGTTTCCTCCCTTGCATCCTTCAAGGCTGATCTCAAGACCCTTCTCTTCGACCGTGCCTTTGGTCTCTCTCCCACCTCTCTTCCTTCCCTCGTCCCTACACCACCCCTCCCCCATGCTCGGGTCCCAACACCTGACTGTTCAGTGCTTTGGGACGTCCTCCCGACATGAAAGGCACTCTATAAATGTAATTTTGTTGTTGTTGTTACTGCTAGGTAAACGTGTGGAGTAAGGAAGCTTGCTTAAGGTTTCGCCCTGCCCGCCCAGGAATCAAACCCGGGTCCTGTCGCTTGTGAGGCGAGGGTCTAAATAATACGCTACGGGACTCCAAATGCCAACAAACCATTTCCCTTGTTGGTTTCCCCTACAGGATCTTTGATAGGATAAACGTCAGGTGACACGAGTGTTTGTAACATACACATACATATATAATGTACGATTGCCCATGCTGACACAGGATCCCCATACACTGCTCAGATGGCTTTGATGACTCCATTCAGCATTGAGTAAGACCCCCTTTTCATTGCTTGCACATTATACCCACTGGAATATGTAATGATCGTGGGAGGGAGAGAGGGAGGGAGGGAGGGAGGCAGGCAGGCAGGGAGGCAGGGAGGGAATAGGCCAAGACCAATGGAAACCTGCTCATTAAACGTCTAATCTGTCGCACAAGATTCCCCGGCAGTGAATGATCCAGCATTAGAGCACGGCTGAATAGCGACAGTAATGAGACTGGCAAAAACGGCTTAAGTAATTGGCTCGGTAGATAGCGTATTGAATGTCCGACCAACAAAAGATATCAATCTCTGTTCCCCATTCAATCTTTGTCCCAGCAATGAATTCATTTAGTCATACACTTGAAGGCTTGCGGTCCCTGGGGGTGGGGCGAGGGGGAGAATGGCAGACCAGGACACAAAGGCTGACCATCTGAGGCCCACAGTCACGGCATACAGAAAGCCCCTCTGCCATTCCGTGGAGTTAAATACCGCCCACAAAAGCAACAGACTATGACTTGTTGATCATTACCATAATCACATTACTGCACTGTTCCCCTCACCCCCACCCCCCGCCTCTTCGCCCTTCGTTCCCACCACTGATCGCTTCATTCCGAGGCTTTGCATTAATTTTCCTGTGGGGAATCTGCGTGAGTCCTCAGCTATTTCAGCCATTATTATTAATAATAACAATGGCCATAATCCTTGCATTTTATATAGCGCCTTATCACTTCAAAACTTGTGTCAGCTGGGCTCAGTCCCTCTCGTTCTCGAGTCAAAAGGTTGTGGGTTCAAGCCCCACGTTGGGGACTCTGAGCTCACAGTCCAGGCTAACTCACCAGGGCAGTGCTGGGGGGAGAGAGATGTCAGAGATGCCATCCTTCAGATGAGACATTAAGCTGAGGCTGTGCCTGTTCAGGTGGACGTTAAAATCCCGCTGTTGGAAAAGAGAAGGGAGTTTCTATATCCCTGGTGTTCTGACTGGCAATCCTCCAAATTAAATTGGTCATTTCAATCCATGACTGTTTGCGGGACACTGCTGTAGGGAAGTGGATTAATCTTAATTCTTATCATTGCAAGATTTTTTTTTAATTGATTGCAGTTAATGTTGCTCTTCCTGACCACACTATACTCTCTCAATCTCTCTCTCTCTCACACACACACACACACACACACACACACACACACTCTAGGGTTTAGTTTTATTTTAAGATATTATTCCATTTAGTATTCTCCACCCCAACCCCCCCCCCTCCCCCCCCCCCCCCCCTCCCCAAAAACTCTCCATAAGTTATTTTCCTCTCCTCTCTCTCCCCTCCTCTCTGTGTATCTCACAATGCTGGAAACTATACAGTGGTATTTATTATTCCAGTTAGTATTCCACACAAACTTTTAAAGTTGTTCTCTCTCTCTCTCTCTCTCTCTCTTAAGGCAAGTGGTAGGTTTGCAAAATGATGATTTTTTTAAAAAAAACTAAAATGACAGTGTCTGTTCCACAGACACACAGTGATTCACTGTGACTGACTGTAAATTGTAGTTTTGCAATGCTGCTATTTATTCCAGTTACTCTGCTAATTCAGTTACTTTCTATGCCCCTTTTTCTCTCTCTCTCTCTCTCTCTCTCCCTCCCTTTCTCTCTCACTGGGAGATGCAGATTTTTGCATTCATATAGTTGACTGTAATTCCAGTCACTGCTTAACACCCTGAGGCTGTGTTTGTGTCTCACTGAGGAACTGGGAGTTTTATATTTATAATCTGCATTTTTGTTATTGTTAATCCTTGCGTTTGATATGGTGTCTTATTCCTATTCCTGGGGTTCACTTGCACAGTCTGGGCAGCCACTCCAGCGCAGCGCTGGGGGTGAGTATTGCACTGTCGGAGGTGCTGTCCTTCGATTAACCAAGATCCCATAATGAAAATTCCCATGTGTAAAGCTTCAAAAAGTATCTCTTTTTTCCCACTCTGTCTCACCATCTGTGTGTGTTTGTACAGAGAGAGAGGGAGAGAGAGAGAGGGGGGGAGAGAACATCTTAATTTCTGCTCTTTTTTTTGCAACAACTCTCTTCTTTTTTTGGGGGGGGGGTTAAAAAAAACTACCCCCAAAAAGTGGGCGTTGAACTGTGTTCATCTCCTCCCTCTCTCCCTCTCTCTCTCTCTCTCTCACACACACACCATGAATATTGATGAAGGCAAAAAAAAAGATAAATGAGTTTCTCTGTGTCTTGTGGCTTTGCAAATAGAAGATTCGACTTCATTTCAGTGCACCACAAGTGGCTATTTTTTGTGTGTGTGTGTGTTTTTTGTGCATTTTTTTTAAAAAAAAGTGAGTTGGGGAGGGAGTAAATTAGCAAAAAAAAAGAGACAGACAGACAGTCAAGAGAGGGAGTGAGTGAGTGCATGAGACTGAGCTACAGGAGGTTAAAGTGGGTGGGGAGCAGAGAGAGAGAGAGAGAGAGAAAGGCAAGTGAGGGGCAGTGGTGGGGGGGAATATAAAGGAGAATAGAGAGAGAAAGAAAAGAGAGAGAGAGGGAAAAAAAAGAGAGAGAGAGAGAGAGAGCTGCTTTGCATTGATGATTCGCATTCTTTTCAGATTGAGCACAGCATTGTCCAGTGGTGCATGTGGGCAGCACTACTGTTATATTGGGTGGAGGTGACTGTCTGTGCTCTCACTCTCTCCCAGAGCACAGCCCAGTGCACACACCACACACACACACACCACACAGAGGGAGAGAGAGGGGTGGCTCTGCTCTCAAGCCACTCACTCACTCTCTCTCTCTCTCTCCCAGAGCAGAGCCCAGTGCACAGCAGTGGAGAGAGAGCAGAGGGTGACTGCCTGTGCTCTCAGTCAGTCAAATCAGGTCAGTCTCTTCCCAGAGCAGAAGAGCCCCAGTGCAGAGCAAGAGAGCAGTGGGGAGCAGTGTTAGCACAGAGCAGAGCATTGCAGTGTGGAGCAGTGCAGTGTTTGCACAGAGCAGTGCAGTGTGGAGCAGTGCAGTGTTTGCACAGAGCAGTGCAGTGTGGAGCAGTGCAGTGAGAGCACAGAGCAGTGTGGAGCAGAGCAGTGAGAGCACAGAGCAGTGCAGTGAGAGCACAGTTCAGTGTGGAGCAGAGCAGTGAGCACAGAGCAGTGCAGTGTGGAGCTGAGCAGTGAGGGCACAGTGCAGTGTGGAGCACAGAGCAGTGCAGTGTGGAGCTGAGCAGTGAGGGCACAGTGCAGTGTGGAGCACAGAGCAGTGCAGTGTGGAGCAGAGCAGTGAGCACAGTGCAGAGCAGTGAGAGTGCAGAGCAGTGAGAGCACACAGTGCAGTGAGAGCACACAGTGCAGTGTGGAGCACAGTGCAGAGCAGTGAGAGTGCAGAGCAGTGAGAGCACACAGTGCAGTGTGGAGCTGAGCAGTGAGGGCACAGTGCAGTGTGGAGCACAGAGCAGTGCAGTGTGGAGCAGAGCAGTGAGCACAGTGCAGAGCAGTGAGAGTGCAGAGCAGTGAGAGCACACAGTGCAGTGTGGAGCAGAGCAGTGAGAGTGCAGTGCAGTGTGGAGCAGTGAGAGCAGTGCAGTGTGGAGCAGAGCAGTGCAGTGAGGGCACACAGTGCAGTGTGGAGCAGTGCAGTGAGAGCAGTGCAGTGTGGAGCACACAGTGCAGTGTGGAGCAGAGCACAGTGCAGTGTGGAGCAGTGCAGTGAGAGCAGTGCAGTGTGGAGCACACAGTGCAGTGTGGAGCAGTGAGAGCACACAGTGCAGTGAGAGCACACAGTGCAGTGAGGGCACACAGTGAGACATGTCTCCCAGGGCTCTCTCAGGCTGTGTTCCTCTGTTCGTGGCTCTGGTTTTGCTGCTCACGTTGAGGGCTCAGGTATGTAAACCAACACTTTTGAGTTTGTTTGTCCTGTTTTTCCTCCTCCTCCTCCTCCTCCCTCCTGGACTAATAACCTCTCTCTCTCTCTCTCTATATATATATATGTTTTCTCTCTCTCTCTCCTGTTTGCTGTTGAGTATTGTTTTATTTTCTGATGTTCCTTTTCGCTTTGCAAAAACTTTTTTTTTCTTCCCCCCCAAAAAAAAAACTTTTTGCCCAGTTTTTTTTTAAGTGAGTGAGTTCTAAACCCTGAGCAGATTTTGTGTGTGTGTGTGTGTGTGTGAGTGAGTGTGTGTGTGTGAGAGAGAGAGAGAGAGAGAGAGAATGGCGAAGGAAGGAAAGAAAGAAAAAGGAAAGGAGAGAGTGAGTGTGTGAGAGAGAGAGAGGAGGGGAGAGAGAGAGAGAGATATTAAAACTAATAGTTACTATGTGGGAGTTGTGGCTCTGAACCACAGGATTGTGAGTTTTTTTGCTGGTGCCTTGAAAGAAAGCAAAAGCAATTGCAAACTGGAGCCAAAGTAGCTGTAAAGCCTGGGCTCATTATCCTAAAATGCACAATAATAAGTGCAAGTTTGCTGTCACTATTTTTTTTGGGGGTGAAGTGGATTAATCTTAATTCTTATCATTGCAAGATTTTTTTTAATTGATTGCAGTTAATGTTGCTCTTCCTGACCACACTATACTCTCTCAATCTCTCTCTCTCTCACACACACACACACACACACACACTCTAGGGTTTAGTTTTATTTTAAGATATTATTCCATTTAGTATTCTCCACCCCAACCTCCCCCCTCCCCCCCCCTCCCCAAAAACTCTCCATAAGTTATTTTCCTCTCCTCTCTCTCCCCTCCTCTCTGTGTATCTCACAATGCTGGAAACTATACAGTGGTATTTATTATTCCAGTTAGTATTCCACACAAACTTTTAAAGTTGTTCTCTCTCTCTCTCTCTCTCTCTTAAGGCAAGTGGTAGGTTTGCAAAATGATGATTTTTTTAAAAAAAACTAAAATGACAGTGTCTGTTCCACAGACACACAGTGATTCACTGTGACTGACTGTAAATTGTAGTTTTGCAATGCTGCTATTTATTCCAGTTACTCTGCTAATTCAGTTACTTTCTATGCCCCTTTTTCTCTCTCTCTCTCTCTCTCCCCCTCCCTCCCTTTCTCTCTCACTGGGAGATGCAGATTTTTGCATTCATATAGTTGACTGTAATTCCAGTCACTGCTTAACACCCTGAGGCTGTGTTTGTGTCTCACTGAGGAACTGGGAGTTTTATATTTATAATCTGCATTTTTGTTATTGTTAATCCTTGCGTTTGATATGGTGTCTTATTCCTATTCCTGGGGTTCACTTGCACAGTCTGGGCAGCCACTCCAGCGCAGCGCTGGGGGGTGAGTATTGCACTGTCGGAGGTGCTGTCCTTCGATTAACCAAGATCCCATCTGTGCCTGTCCAGGAGGATGTTAACGATGTCGCGGCGCTGTAGGAAAAGAGAAGAGAGTTTTTCTCTCGCTCTCTCTTGGTGTCCTGGCCAATAATCCCTCAAATACAATTGGTCACTCACTCCATGGCTGTTTGCGGGACACTGCTGTACGCAAATTGGCTGGCGGGTTTCGGTCACGAAATAACGGTCACTGCACTTTACAGTATACCTCGTGAAGCGCTTTGAGACGCCTTGACGATGTGATACGGCGCTGTGTTAAATGCAAAGATTGTTATGAAGTTCCTGTCTCAATTGCTGGGAGTTTTATATTTGCCGTGTTATTCCAGGTTAGCCCACACCTGGTAGTGAGTCCACTATTGCTGGTAGTGAGTGTTTTTTTAGCGCCGTTCTGAATCATTTGATCGTGCGATTGTTATTAATTATGATGTAATTAGTTTAGATCACTCCATCGAGATCATTTCTGAATGGTTTTCAGTGATGGTCAGCCAGACTAATAAAACTGCCATGTTGCAATATATATATATTACGTATGTTTCTTTTCTTAGTTTGTTTGAACTTCTTAAAATACAATAAAACTCGCATAAGTTTGATCTGTACAAATCGTATCTTCGCCTCAGTCGCACATCTGCCCCAAAACCCCGTTAAATTCTATGAAAGTTTGACATAACTCATACTTTGCATAAGTCATATCAAACGTATGGTCCCAACTGATATGACTTCTGTGAGGTTTACTGTAGCTCCTTTTTGCAGGAGGTTGATATTTTGTTCACCAGGTATTTGGGTGGAGTCCTGTAACACTTGCTTAGAGCACCTGCTTTGCCAGCGAGAGGAACCTGGGTTCGATTCCCGGGCAGGCGAAAACATTAGGCAAGTTTCCTTACTCCACACGCCTCCGTTTATCCAGCAGTAAGTAGGAACCTGTTGTTAATCGATTGGCGGATCGCTTTACCGGGGGTAATAAATAATCCCTTCAAAAAATTTTTTTTAAAAATATTAATTTGGTCGCTCAATCCACGACTGTTTGTGGGGATGCTGTTGTGCCCAATCGGCTGCCACGTCTCACCCACAAAAATATACAGTCGCTTCACTTACAGAATAATCCTCGCTGACGTGATAAGGTGCTGTATCAAATGCAAGTAGTATTATTATTATTATATTTGTCAACCCATTTCTGTATGAACAGTCTCAGTTATTAATTATTATGTATGATGGTTTGGACGACAGTGGTCGGAGGCATCGGGACAGTTCGAGCTGGAGATAAACTTCATGCAGAACATTAATGGCGAGCTGCAGAACGGGAACTGCTGTGAGGGAAGTAGCCGTAACCACCAAGACCGCAAGTGTGTGCGGGCGCAGTGTGACACCTTCTTCAAGGTGTGCCTGAAGGAGTACCAGTCCAGGGTCTCGCCCGGGGGTCCGTGCAGCTTCGGAGCCGCCTTCACCCCCGTGATCGGGGGCAACACCTTCAACCTGCGGGCCAGCCCCCACCCAGAGCGTCGCAGAATAGTCCTTCCCTTCAGCTTCGCATGGCCGGTCAGTGCTTCTCTACACATCCCCAAGTATTCTCTACTCTCCCCCATACCCCCCCCATACTCTTTCTGCTCTACCCGCCCCTCCCTCCCAATACTCTCTACCCCCCAGTACTCGCTCTCCGCTCTACCCCCCAAATACTCTCGCTTTCTGTTCTACCCCCCATGTAATCTCTTAACCTCTATCCTCGCACCCCCCCCTCCCCGCGACCTCCAACAGCGTCTTGGGACGTCCTCCTCACTGAAAGGTGCTATACATATGTAATTTTGTATTGTAAATGCTTTCTCTCTCTATCCCCCCAAATTTGACCCCAAGATTTTTTCTACTTCCTAAATGTTTTCTGTACTCCCCCAGAAATCCTCTGTGCCTTTTCCCCGAATGTGGACCCTCATCTCAAAAAAATGTTCTCTCTTCCTCTCCACATCACACTGTCGCCCCAGTCCCCAAAAGTTCACCATCCCCACAAACCCCACAGAAACTTTCTCTCTACCCCCCTCCCCCTAAAAAAAATCTACCCCACTCCCAGCAAAAAACAAACTGCCCCATCATTCTATTTACTTAACAGCCCCCTCCCACTTCCCCATTTTACTCCCCTCCCTCCCCCTCCGCCTCCCCCTCCGCCTCCCCCTCCGCCTCCCCCTCCGCCTCCCCCTCTGCCTCCCTCTCCCCCTCCGGCTCCCCCTCCGCCTCCCCCTTTGCCTCCCTCTCCCCCTCCGGCTCCCCTCCCTCTCCCCCTCCGCCTCCCTCTTACCCCCCCCCTTTCTCCACTACTGGTTGGAGTTGAAGTTGTTGTTAAATGATGAACCAGTTGCTGCTCTTCAGTTTAGCCTGTGTGTGAGCGCACCTGCACACGCGTGTCTCTGTGTGTGAGCGCACCTGCACACGCGTGTCTCTGTGTGTGAGCGCACCTGCACACGCGTGTCTCTGTGTGTGCGCGCACCTGCACACGCGTGTCTCTGTGTGTGAGCGCACCTGCACACGCGTGTCTCTGTGTGTGCGCGCACCTGCACACGCGTGTCTCTGTGTGTGCGCGCACCTGCACACGCGTGTCTCTGTGTGTGCACGCACCTGCACACACGTGTCTCTGTGTGTGCGCGCACCTGCACACGCGTGTCTCTGTGTGTGCGCGCACCTGCACACGCGTGTCTCTGTGTGGGTGCGCACGTGAGCGTCTCTGTGTGTGTGTTTGCGTCCTGCCAACCTGTCTGCCTGTCTGGCTGCCTGTCTGGCTGCCTCTCTGGGTGCCTGCCTGCCTGTCTGGGTGCCTGCCTGCCTGCCTCCCTGCCTGTCTGGGTGCCTGTCTGGGTGCCTGCCTGCCTGCCTGTCTGTCTGGGTGCCTGCCTGCCTGTCTGTCTGGCTGCCTGCCTGCCTATCTGGGTGGCTGCCTGCCTGTCTATCTGGGTGGCTGCCTGCTTGCCTGTCTGGGTGCCTGTCTGTGTGCCTGCCTGGGTGCCTGCCTCCCTCCCTGTCTGTCTGGGTGCCTGCCTTGCCTGTCTGGGTGCCTGCCTTGCCTGTCTGGGTGCCTGCCTTGCCTGTCTGGGTGCCTGCCTGGGTGCCTGCCTGCCTGTCTGTCTGGGTGCCTGCCTGTCTGTCTGGGTGCCTGCCTGTCTGTCTGGGTGCCTGCCTGTCTGCCTGGGTGCCTGCCTGGGTGCCTGCCTGCCTGTCTGTCTGGGTGCCTGCCTGCCTGTCTGTCTGGGTGCCTGCCTGCCTGTCTGGGTGGCTGCCTGCCTGCCTATCTGGGTGGCTGCCTGCCTATCTGGGTGGCTGCCTGCTTGCCTGTCTGGGTGCCTGTCTGTGTGCCTGCCTGGGTGCCTGCCTCCCTCCCTGTCTGTCTGGGTGCCTGCCTTGCCTGTCTGGGTGCCTGCCTTGCCTGCCTGGGTGCCTGCCTTGCCTGTCTGGGTGCCTGCCTTGCCTGTCTGGGTGCCTGCCTTGCCTGTCTGGGTGCCTGCCTTGCCTGTCTGGGTGCCTGCCTTGCCTGTCTGGGTGCCTGCCTTGCCTGTCTGGGTGCCTGCCTTGCCTGTCTGGGTGCCTGCCTTGCCTGTCTGGGTGCCTGCCTTGCCTGTCTGGGTGCCTGTGTGTGGGCACACGCATGAACGCGTGTGTGCAGGCGTCTGTGGCTGTGCGATGTGTCTGCGTGTGTGCATGCGCGTGAGCACGTGTGCGTGGGTGTGTCTGTATGTGTGTGTGCGCATGAGCGCATGTGTCTGCATGCGTGTGTCTTTGTGCGGGTGTGAACATGTTTGTGCTGGTGTGAGCGCGTGTGTGCAGGTGTGAGCGAGAGTGTACATGTAAGCATATGTCTGTGTGTACGTGTGCATGCACGTGCTTGAGCGCGTGTTGTGTCCTGTGTCTGCGTGCGTGGGAGCACGCGTGTCTGTGAGCGCAGATGAACACGTGGGTGTGAGCTCGGGTGTCTGTTTGTGTGCGGGTGTGAGCTCGGGTGTCTGTCTGTGTGCGGGTGTGAGCGTGGGTGAATGTAGTTTTCGTCTGTGGGTATCTGTGTGAGCGTGGCTATGCGCGCCCACGCGTGTGTGAGCGTCCGCGCGGGTGTGTGTGAGCGTCCGTGCGGGTGTGTGTGAGCGAGTGAGTGCACAGGCCAGAAAAGGTAGAGTGTCAAAGACCCGGAATGGAGGAGGACGGTGAGAGTTGGTGCTATTTCGATGGTCTCGGAGGGAGCACTTTTTGATGCTGAACGATGTGGAATGTTGAGTCGTGGTGTGGCCACAGAGCTGTGTGTCTCTCACCCTCACCCGAGCTCTGTCCTCACCGCAGCTCAGACAGCGGCTGTGTCTGGCTTTTATAGTAATATAGTAATAATCCTCGCCGTTTGATGTAGCGCCTTATCACATCTTTGAGACGTTTCAAAGCGCTTCACAGAATGTACAGTGAAATGAGAAGTGGTGGTGACTTGTTGAGTAATCAGGAGTTTACTGCAAAAACTGTGTGTGTATTTTATTTTAATTTTTGCAAATTTAAGCAAACTCTTTAAATAAACGTGTTCGGAATGGAGAAATGGGACAAATTGGGACGGTGGTTTGTGTGGTGGGGGATGGAGAAGGAAGGAAGGGAGAGAGAGAGAGAAACAACAAATTAGATTTACACAGTGTCTTTCACGACGGGAGGATGTCCCAAGGAGCTGGACAGTCAGGGATTTGCACCCGAGCTGGAGGTAACATAAAATAATAATAAATATTATTTATAATAAATAATAATAATAATCCTTGCATTTGATACAGCGCCTTTTCACATCTTCGAGACGTCTCAAAACGCCTCACAGGATCTATTGTAAAGTGAATTGACTGGATATTTTGTGGGCGAAACACGACAGCCAATTGCGCACCGCAGTGCCCCACAAACAGCCGTAGAATGAGTGACCAAATTATTATTGTCTTGAGAGGGATTATTAGCCCTGGAATCAGGTTCCTGCTTACTGCTAGGTAAACCGAGGCGTGTGTGTGTGGAGTATGGAAACTTGCCCAACGTTTCGCCCTGCCCGGGAATCAAACCCACGTCCTCTCGCTTGCAAGGCGAGCGCTCTAACCACTGAGCTACAGGACTCCACTGTATTGGGTGGGATCAGGAGGGAGGGTGTTGGGGGGGATGGGGGGGTGGTAGGAAGGCCATGTTAATTAAGAGGACCCGAGTGAGTTGAAACAGGATTGTTGTGATGCCTGACTGGTGGTCGGACCCTCTCAAAGGAGAGGATTATGCGGGCTGTCGCAACCAGACAAAAGCTGAATGCTATAGGACTGAGAGACGCTGGGGTGCAAAGAGCTAAGTGTTTCACTATATTTCATTTATATATTTCAATTTAAAAAGAAGAGAGCCCCTGACCTTGGGAAGGTCTGGCCTGGCACCTGTTAGCACTGCTCCCTCAATCGCTCGCTCTGCTTTGACTACTTTGGGTTTGATTCCCGGGCAGGGCAAGTTTCCTTAATCCACACACCTCTGTTTGCCCAGCAGTAAGCAGGAACCCGATTGTCAGTTGATTGGTTTTCTGAGGGTAATAATTCCTTCAAAAAAAAATAATTCGGTCACCTCAATCCACGACTGTTTGTGGGACACCGCTGTGCACAATTGGCTGCCGTGTTTCGCCCACAAAATATACAGTCAACTCACTTGACAGTATATCCTGTGAAGCGCTTTGAGACGTCTCAACGACGTGATCAGGTTCTGTATCAAATGCAAGGATTATTACTGTCGAGTGTAGTGACTGTGTATTCTGAGGATGAAGGCAGCAGCCAGTTTGTACATCGCAACGTCACAAACAGCTGTGAAGTGAATGACTGATTTTACCTGGGGGATTTTTGGCCATGAGTGTGTGTGTGTGTGTGTGTGTGTGAAAGAGAGAGGAAAAACTCCCTTCTCTTTATCAATAGCGTTGGAGGAATCTTAACTCTCAGTGGCTGAGATGTTGGGCGTGCACGCTGAGAGGCAAAGTGTTTTCAGGAATTGCTTTCACGCGTTCCGTTCCGATGTGTTTGGCTGGAAAATGGGTGTGCCCATGCCAGGCTGTGACTTTATTAAACATGGGACGGTTGATTGACTGGCTGGGTTGCTGAGGCAAGCAACAAGGAACAGGCCTGTGCAGAGGAACATCTTAGAAAAACACAGCTGCACCTGTAGAGATTCTTACTGCCATTTAACTCTGGTCTCCCCCTGGCTCACATACTGTGTGTGTGTCAGCCTGGCTCAGTCAAGGTGTGTGTGTGTGTGTCAGTCTGGCTTAGTCAAGGTGTGTGTCAGTCTGGGTTAGTCAAGGTGTGTGTGTGTGTGTGTGAGCCTGCTTCAGTCAAGGTGGTGTGGGTGTCAGCCTGGCTCAGTCACTGTGTGTGTCAGCCTGGCTCAGTCACTGTGTGTGTGTCAGTGGCTCAGTCACTGTGTGTGTGTCAGCCTGGCTCAGTCACTGTGTGTGTGTCAGTGGCTCAGTCACCGTGTGTGTCAGCCTGGCTCAGTCACTGTGTGTGTGTCAGTGGCTCAGTCACTCTGTGTGTGTGTGTGTG